GCTTGCGAGGCAGGTGCCAGAACCACTGAGCTAAATCCCCAGCCCGTTTTGTTTTTTAATTGTAGAAATACATGTCATTGCATGATTTTGACTCTGGTTCGTTTTTTTTTTTCATTTATTTTTATATCAGTATTTAACACTGACTACCACTTCTAATCAGGAAACAAATCTTAGAAATTTCTTCAATTTTTTTTAGTGACTATGATGCTAAAATACCCACCTTATTTAACCTGTGCTAGTATACCATGAGTTGCCAAGCACCTTTGTAACTAACCACTTTGTAACAAAGTGGCCAGGACTTTGCACTATTGGGTATCCCTCTGTTCTAGCTCTGGTGTGAGAGCAGGGCTCCCTTTCCCTCCTGGCTGCAGTACGGATACAGCTGTATGACTTTGGCCCATGTGAGGAGCTATCAGCCTTTCCGGCTATGTACTCAGGATTCCAGCAGGGGTCACAATAGGCACATCCATCCAGCAAGTCACATCTACCCAGATTATACAGTAAGGGAACAGCAACCCCAGGCTAATAATCAAATGCCTCCAAAGGAGTAGGGACTCTGGTGGATCAGAGCACTAGCATTTCATTCCAGTGAATGCTCAACTAGATTTGCCTGAAAAGCGGTTGATTTCCCATAAAGCCTTCCCAAGGTGGGCCAGGTAGGTTTCCAAAAAGAAGTCCTACAGGCCAGGGTATCAGTCCCAAGCACTGATTAGAAGTTGCTTACAGGGCTGCATTATCCTCAGGGTCCAGGGAAGAGAGAGCTGTGTCTTGCCAGGTGTGTTGCAGGGAAAGGTGGGGACAGTGTGTGTATGGGGGCTTAAGGGATTTGGCTCAAAGCTAGGGCTGATTTCCTTGTTTTGGGCAACAAACTGGACACTTATCAGTGTCTAGTGACATTCCAGGCCTACCCAGGGCTCTGGCTTGCTGGGAAAAGCCATGCTGGCAGTCACTGAGCAGACAAGGCACACTATGATCTGTGGCTAGGACACAGAACGCAACCTGGGGACTGGGGCATCATACAACCAGTAATAAGTTCCATGACCCAGAAAGGAATTCATTTGCTGACGTATTAAGGGGAATGGATAGGTCCCTTCTTGGCCCTTCAGCATTTACAAGCTGGAGGATGTGGGGTGGGATGGCTGGGAGCATTTGGAAGGTGGTAGGGAATTGATCTTGAGTTTGAATGCACTCAAGTTGGTGTGCAGAGGATTCCTGGTGTCTGTGGCTACGTGTGTCCCCTACAGAAACTACTCCAGACAACAGCATGTTATCCTCTTAGAATTCAGGGGGCTATGGACAGAGTGAGATGTAAGAGCTACCATCTTTGTGTCGTGTGCATGTGCATATTACTGGGGATTAAGCCCAAAGCATTTGCACTGAGCTACATCCCCAGCCCTTGTTTTTGTATTTTGAGACATCTTACTACATTGCCCACACTGAGCTTGAATTTTCAATCCCCCTGCTTCAGCCTCCCAGTGTTGGGATTACAGGCATGCACCAAACCTGGCTAGAACTGCCATCTTTGAAGGAGTCCCCTCTCCTCCAGGGTCCTCATCAGTTTCAATGTTTTCCCTTCTGGTGACTGCAAACCTTTTGGACTCCTTTGCCTACCCCTCATGTCTCTTCTGACACCTCCATGTGTATTCATCTGTCATCTGAGTCCCAGGCACCTACACCTCCCCAATCTGGCATTTGCCAATTTACCATCTCTGCACACACCTGCCTTGCAGGGAGCGCTCTGGTGGGGAAACCTGACCTGGTCCTCCACTTTCTTGGTTTTCCTTTTGTGACCAGACATGACAAAAATCCATTTTTGGGCTGTCTGCTCCCTCAAGGTGGAACACATACTGGCATAGGTTTATTGTGCTTGTATCCCCTAGAGGGAAAGGCCTGTCTGAGGAAGGGAAGGCAGAGTGACTGCTGGGCACTGGTGCAGTGGGGAGGAATGGGAAAGGGCCGTTAAAGCTAGAAGGATCCGGGCCTTGAGCAACAGTTCAGGGCAAGGGAGGCAGGTGCTGCAGCAAGGGCTGGGCTTAGCCTGGCTGGAGTGGAGACCCTGAGAGAGGCAATCTTCCCATGGTGCCTGTGGACCAGTGCTTCTGGGGAAGTGGCTTTGGTTCTCACCAGAGCCCTGTACACCAGCACACCTGCCCCATGTAGACCATGGGAACACGAAGCTTTATCACTGACAGAAGGCACTTCTAGAAGACAAAATGGCCCCAGTAGTGGTCTGAAGGCTTTTCCCCCAGTACTGATGGTGAACCCAGGACCTTCATATCAAACTACAACCCCAGCCCACCAACCTCGAGACAGGGTCTTAAACTGCCCAGGCTGGGCTTGTGCAATCCTCTTGCCTTGGCCTCTCAGTGCTGGGGTTACAGGTATGGGTCACCATTGCTGGTTTATTGTATCTCTTAGCAGATGAGTAAAGGGGCACACACAATGGGGCAGAACTAATAGCCAGAGCCCCAAGCTGAGCTTAAAGGAAGGTCTAGGGGATGAGGGCAGGGTGTAAGCATAGGCCAGAGGGCACAAATCCAGAGCCAAGAACAAGGCCTGACCTAGTTAAGAGCACTCACAGGCCACACCAGCCCTAGAAGACCTACCCAAGGGCAGAAGTGGGCAGTACTCAGAGGCAAAGTGGACAGAGCCCATGCCTCCTCTGATCTGAGGCACCCTGAGCATCAATCTGCCTAGGAGCCTGGTCATGGGAGTCCTGTGACCTTAACCCAACTGCTGGGCAGCAAAGCTGGGGCCTGTCCCCTTCGGCTCTTGCTTTCCCTAGAGGCTCAGCCCTCCAGGGAACTTGGTGGCCCATAGCCCCTCAACCACCAGGCAATGCATGCCCAGGAAGCAGGCTAGAGTACCTCTGAGAAGAGCAAGGTGCCCAGGCTGGGACCAAGAGGTACAGAATGCAAAGGGTACAAGCAGACAGCACCAACTGGAAGGCTGGTGGAGGTCCCTGGACATCCTTTGATTCCCTTCTATTTAGGCCACCCAGTGACCAGGGCCAGAAAGTCAGGAAGCCACCTGGGCCAAACCCATCAATCCTATCTTGGGGCCATCTTGGCTCAAGACCTCTGCTGATTTTGGCTATCACAGCAGCAGCAACAACCTAATGGGTTGTTTCTTGCAAACGAGGCACAAGCTCCAACAATGATGCTAGACCAACCATCCCAGCGATGGAGAGCACCTCACAGGCTTTTTTTTTTTTTGGTACCAGGGATCGAACTCGGGACCTAGCGCTTACAAGGCAAGCGTAGGAACCACTGAGCTAAATCCCTGGCTCCAACCTCACAGGCTTTTGAGAGAAATGGTTTCCTCCAATCCCCATGTACACCCCGCATGCACCCTCTCTTCCTGAGCAAACAACCAAAGCAAAAAGTAAACTGGAATCAGACTTGGAATAGAGGAGACAAAGAGCAAAGGAACCAGTGAGCTGACTTTGCATCGCGGTCTTTGTCACACAGTAATTGCACTGTCCAACACCGTTTATTTTAGGGCAACTGGGTTTTGTCATTTGCCTACATTTGTTTCACTCCAAGTTTATTTTTCTTAATTTATCATTTTCAGCCAAGCCTGATAACACACATATATAATCCCAGCACTCGGGGAAGCTGAGGCAAGAGGATGGTACATTGAAGCCCACCCTGGACAACTTAACAAGACCCTGTCTCAAAAAACAAGGGCTGGGGGGCCGGGGATTTAGCTCAGTGGTTTTGCTGCCTGCTGCGCAAACGCAAGGACCCGAGCTCGATCCCTGGTACCAAAAAAAAACAATGGCTGGAGATGTAGCTCAATGTAAAGGCCCTGGGTTTAATTCCCAGTACTGACGTCACAAAAAAAGTGGGGAGGTGGCCGAGGATTTAGCTCAATGGTTCCACTGCCTGCCTCACAAGCGGAAGGACCCAAGTGCGATCCCCGGTACCAAAAAAAAAAAAAAGTGGGGAGGAAAGGAGGAAAAAAGAACTGAGATGTATTATGTACTTGTACCAATTCCCCTACAATGAATATATTATGTACTGCAAACACATACTAAGTTTTTAAAAAAAAATAATAAAGAGGGCTGAGATGTACCTCAGTTGCAAAGGTTCAATCCCCAATACTACCAAAGATAAATCATTTCAACTTATTTTTTGGCCTCATTCTTTTATCTTAAAATTTGTGGCCTATCTGGAATGTAACTGGGGGCACATATGCAAGAGCAAGCTGCTGTCTTCCTACTCCCTAGGTAACTGCCTATCATCTTTTCTTAGGCCCTGTGTAGGCCAGGCTTCCCCAGAGCTCCTGGGAGGGATCCCTTCCTGCCTGCTGCAACCATGTGGGGGCCATGGGCTCCACCCTCCCCAGGCAGCTTGGTGTCAGGATGCCCAGCCCACTCAGCATAGAATGTAGCCCAGGCAGAATGAAAACGAGGACAGGTGGTGGTACCCCGTCCCTGCACAGGACCCAGTCCCTGCCATGCCACGCTGGCCATCCCTGAGACACCTGTGAACCGTCTAGGGAGATTACAGGGCAATGTCCCGTGCAGCCTTGGACACCTGGGGGACCAAGTCTCCAGTAATACCCTGTACTGCACATCAGGACGCTGGCCTGGGGAGAAGGGAGGACTTCCACAGCAGACCCTGTGCACCACCTGGAGCAGGGGAGGGAACAAACCAACTTCTCTCTGCTCTCTTTCCTCATCTCTGCCCAGGTACTCGAGCCACCTGATGGCCAAGGCTGACCTGGCAGAAGCCAGACTAAGCCACATGTGTTTGGGGGGATCTGTCCCATCTCGCTCAGATCTGAATTCCAAGTGAATGACTAAACAAAGGAGCTCACTGAATCCTCAAACATCCTACGGAGCAGGGATGTGGACCGTACAAATGGTACAACTGAGGCTCAGTAACATGCCTGAGGTAACAAAGCTGACTGTGAGCATGAGGACCAGCCTGCCTGTGGGAAGCGTCTTCCCCTCCTGCTAGGTCCAGCCCTGGAGTCTGTACCAGGCCAGGAAGGAAAAAATGAGGGAGGTTTATTTAACATTAAGGTGGGGAGGGCACCAAAGGTTGACCAGTTCACTTGGTGATGGTGTTCCTGTGGGGAGAAGAGAGGTGTGAGGGCGGAGCAGGGGCATGGCACCCCATCCCACCTGTCCCGAGAGCCCCGACTCACGCATTCATGCTCTTGCCGCTGCCGCTGAGCACAATGTATGGAGTCTTCTGGGCCTTCTGCTTCTCCTGGAGCAAGGCCACCGTGCCCAGGGGTGTGTCACTGGAGCTCATCTTCTTCAGGAGCTGTGGGTTGGCACCAGTCAGCACAGGGGCAGGAGCCAGCCCAGCAGTCACCACCCTCAGCCCCAACCAATGCAGAGGCCCCTAGGTCCCTGAGCACCCACCGCCTCTTCGTCCAGCTTCTTCATCCGCCGCTCAGTCTTCATCTTGCCCGAGCCCTTCCCATGGAAGCGGTGGGACAGCTGTCGGAATGCCTGGGGACACAGGGCAAGAAGTGGGAGCTGAAGGGACCCCGGGTGAGGCCAGGGCCACTTGTATCCAAGGAGCACTCCAACAGGGTGGGGGGTGCTAACTCGCCCAACTGAACGTAGGGCCTAGGTGGGAGGGAAGGGGATGGGAAAAGGATCCTAGGACCCCAGTAGAGGTAACAAGACACTCAAACAGATGTGCTGTGACAGGGGCAGTGGGGATCTGGAGTGAGACCTGCCATGTGAAGGCTGGGGCTGGATGGGGATGTGTATGGGGGGTGGGGTGGGGGTCCTGGATCCTGCCACCAAGGATGGTGCCCTGAGCACAGGAGGCTTCTGCTACAGTAGGTGGGAAGAGGTACAGAGGCACCTGTCTGACCCTCATGCCAGCATTTGAGGAGCCTGCTGTACTAGAAATGGAAACTGAGGGACAGAGGATCTGCCACCTCACCAGGCCCCTAGGCAGTGGGAGGCCAGAGAGGGGCCTGCAGTGCTGCACTGCCTCCATGGGCTCTGGCCCTCCCTGAGCCTGTCACCCTTAGACTGGTCCCATCCACCAAGGGCCCACTCACCTCCTTGGGTGTGAGCTTCCGACCTGTCTCATCCACATACTCGATCTTAACGTCGGGCTTGTAGCCATCCTTCTCCTTGAAGTCCTGAGTGAAGCCACGGTACTCTTCTCGCCTGCTGTACTTGTCGTCAATGGCCCTGGACCAAAACAGAGATCTGTGTCTCCCACCAACCACCTACAGTGTTCCTGGCAACCCCATGCTGGCACCACCCCCACTGCCACACTCACATCTTGTCCTCGATGCAGTACACAGCTGAGGGCAGGGACTTGTTGGGCGCCTTCACCCGGGCCACCTTCTGAACTGTGGTCTCCAGCAGACCTGGGGACAGAGGGGCGATAAGGTCCAAGCTGCCTACCCCAAAGATAGGACAGCTATGTGAGTGCTATGAAAGGCTCACAGCCCTGCTGGGGAGTAGAATGTCAGGCTGTTGTAGACAAAGGAAACAAGGAATCAGCCCTTCGCCGAGGACATGCAGAGCTGGGACCCTAACAAGAAAGTCTGTTTCCACTCGCCCACACCTTCCTGGAAATGACTCAGATCCTTGAATGCACAGCAGAGGGACAGATGCTACTGTGACTGCCCAGAACCAGCCTAAACGGGAAGGAGTGGCTCAGGGACTCAGCTCAGGGACCCAGCTCACGGCATCAGGACTGAAGAAGGGGCAAAGGGGGCCACCCGAACCCACCTCCCATACCACGCACCCGCCCGCACCTTTGTTCTGGCACAGGAGCAGGGCAGCAGCCAGACCTCTGTTCACGATGGGCTCCTCATCCAGGATGGTGGTAGAGGAGGCAGAGAACTGGGGATGGCACACAGTGGGGGGTCTGAGCACCTCCTTGCCCACCAGTCATCCCCAGTACTTCATCCCCACTAACCCTGGGACTGTAGAGCCCATTTTACAGATGAGAAGACAAGCCCCCAGGTCCCTCAGGAAGGCAGGGACTGAGCTGAGTGGAAGCCTGGGACCCTTGTCCAGCCCACAACCCCTGCACATCCTCACATCCTGCTGCTGCTTCTCCTCATCCAGATTGACGGTGCTCCAGCCAATGTTCTCTTCTCCATCTGACTCGGAGCCGCCATTGGCTGAGCGCTCCTCGTCCCGTTCAAAGTCCTGGGGCGGGAAGCCAACATTAGCCTGGGTAGCACCAGCCTGCCATCCCCAAGGGCTGGGCTTGTTACCAAGGACCCACAGTCCCCTGTCAAAAGCAGAGCAGGCCAGAGAGCAGTGGGGCTGTGGGACTCACCATGAGCTCCTCCTGCTCCTCCCGGTTGCCAGCCAGCCCGTAGGTGGGGATCTCCCCCAAGGTGCGGCAGAACTCCGAGGTGGCATTGAACACGATGGTCCCCTTCCGCTCAGGATCCTCCTCCTCCTCCCAGCCCCGCTGGCGAGACTCCAACTTCTTCACAATCTCCACCACCTGGGGGAGGGAGCAGCTGTGGGCAGACCCAGAAGTTTCTGGGGTGATGCCACAGAGACCTGGGAACCCACAGATCCTCCCTGGGTCTGGTACATAAGCCATTCCCATAGCCCAAACCAGATGGTCTGACTGGCTTCCTCTGCCTCCCTGGCCCTCCTTTGTCCAATTTCTAATCCCTACCTACCCTAATGAGTCACTTTCTGCTCCAACCCAGCAATGGCTCCCTACTTCCCTTTGAATTAACATCCAAAATCCTACACAATCCCTCCTGACCAAGCCTGTGCCAGCCCTCTCCAAAGCCTCTACATACTGTCTGGGTATCCAGGGCCTCTCCTGCCACCTACATCTCACCCAGCAGCTCCCCTTCCAGGACTCACTTCTTCTGGAAGCTCCTCCAATGCCCAAGGAGTCAGACAGCCCACCCTCCTGACTTCCCAGCTGGCATTTCCTGTCCTGCTTTATGAGCAACAAGGCGCCTTGAGAAGAGCTTCCCTGTGCTGCCAGGATTGAGCCCAGCAACCCGAACACCTCCTGTTGTGCAGACGCTCACCCAGCAGATACCCAGTATCTCCTCGCTCTTAAAAAATCCTCCCCCAGCTGGGTGTGGTAGTGTACACCTATAATCCCAGAACTTGGAAGCAGAGGCAGGAGAACTGCCACAGGTTCAAGACCAGCCTGAACTATATAGTGAGATCCTGTCTCAAAAAAACAAAACAAGGGGACGGGGATTTAGCTCAGTGGCACCGCTCCTGCCTTGAAAGCGCAAGGCCCTAAGTTCGATCCCTGGTACAAAACAAACAAACAAACAAACAGAAAATAATGCCCCCTAACCCTGTAACCCCCAGGACAGGACAGCAAACTCCTAGAGTAGTTCTAGTCACCACGTCCTCCTGTGTCCAGCTCATGTAAGTGCCCTGTGAAGATCAGCAATGGCTGTGGCTTTAGGTCTCACTGACCATTCACCTTAGCTCTCGCTGTCCAGGTGCTCACTCCCTGCTCCAGCCTACCTGTCCTTGAGCGCTCCAAGGTCATTTCTCCAAAAGACACCCACTGCCATTACCCCAAATTTCAGCTCAAAGGTCACCCAAGAGCCCTCTCTGAACACAGTTGTTCTCACCTTGTTTTACTGTCGGCCGAGCAATTGCCATTATCTGAACAGTTTGTCCTGTGTTCACAAGGTCCCTGCTACCCCTCACCTACACTAGAGTCAGCCCTGTCTCCCACTTCCCAGTGATACCCCAGCCCTGAGAATGGGGCCTGACTTATAGGAGGCATCAATACATGTCCCCAAAGAAAGGAGAGGCCAGGAGCCACCTGCTAAATCTAGACACCTGCTTATCACGTGACATTTAACAGAAAAGAGGCTTCCAGTGGGAAGGTGCACATGCTCCTGGGGATAGAAGCCACACACAGACTGGTCACTCCAGTCAGCCTCACCTTTTCACCACTGTCCCGAAGCTGCTGCAACTGCTGCAGCTGCCGCAGCCGCCGCCCCTTTTCCAGCTGCTTCTGTAACTCCAGCTCTGCCTCGTCCTCCTCCAGTGCATCCGGGGACCCTGATGGCAGAGCTCCCCCGTCCTCTGGCAGGAACAAAGGATGCCTGCTCACATCAGCTCCTGGGCTCCCAGGGCCCTGTCCCCACCCCTGCCAGCCGGCCCCTCACCCTCGTCACTGATGTCCATGTTTTCCACACGGGTGTCATCCGATGGCAGGGGCTGAGGCACAGCATCCTTCTCGGTATCCTCCGGGGTGGCCTCTTCTGCCTCTGGCACTCGGCGTCGACCCCGGCCCCGAAGCCTAGAAGGAAGAGGCCCCATAGTGAGCATCAGCGCCTGGGCTGGACCAGCCGGGCCCTCACACCACACCACTGTGTCTAAGCTCACCTTGAACCAAAGTCCCCATCTTGAGTGTGGTCCCCAAGGGGCAGCAAATCATCTGCCCGCATAACCACCTCCTTTTCCTTCTTACGGATTTTCTTCACCCTCCGCTTGGTCTTTTTAAAGGTCACCTGAGGGGGTAAAAAGAGATATGAGGAGGGAAGAGTGAACTGTGACCTCAGGCCATCAGAGGCCAGTAACAATGACAGCTCTTTTGGTGTCATTTTGCCTGTCACCATGCCTAGCACTTCCAATACATACAACACATTGAGGTGGGTGCTGTATCACTCCACTGTGGGTGGGTGCTATATCACTCACTGTGAGACAGGGAACCAAGGCCCAGAGAGGTGAAGTACCTTTCCTGGGGCTGCCTAGCTCCTGTGCAGGAGAGCTGGGCCCAGGACCCTCAGCAGTCTGGCTCCTGGACTCTTTCCTGCTTGGCCATGATGCCAACAGCACCAGCTGTCTACCTCTATTCCCGGTCTCTCCACACGCCAGATCCACATGCACCTATAAAACTGCAACTCCTCACACTGTGGCAGCTTCGGGAGGTGGCTCCTGTCACTGCTATTCTGGATGGGTGCCACAGGCTCTGTTAAATGACTCACCCAAGATACAAGCTGGCCGTGTGGCAGAGCAGGAACACAAACTTGGGTTCAACTGGCTCAATAGTCTCTGCCTGTCAACACCCAGTGCCTCCCTGATCTGTTATTTACCACTCACCCAAGAGCCAAGTACTGCCCAACACTCAACCTCCTCCTGGGGAATGCGGGCAGCCGTAGACTCCCAAGGGGCAGGACAATGGCCACCCCATACACAGCCTGGCCGGGGCTCACCATCTCCTCAGGCGTCAGGTACTCAGAGGCCAGCCGGGGTCCCACCGAGCTCAAGGACTGTGCCTGCAACCGCAGCTTGGTCCGGATCTCTTCCAACTCACGTTCCCGCAGGCCATCAGCTATGCCGCCCTGCTCCAGCCGGAAGGAGTGCAGCCGCTCACCCTCCAGCTCCTCGTCGTACTTGGCCAGAATAGAGCGAGGTTTTTGCTGCAAGGTAAGAGGCACGGATTGGGACCTGAGCCGGCCAGTCTTCTAGCACTCCGTGCCAACACTCTGCAGCCCAGCCGGCTTGCCTGTGCTAGGTCATCTACGCTCTCGTCTTCTGCATAGGGCAGGTAGTCAGGCTTCTTCTTCCGCAGCTCCACGTTTTTCTCTGCCCGCTCCTTATCCACCATGTTCACATTCACCAGCACATCCTCCTCCTCCTGCAGCACACCTGGAAACAGAGCAGGCAGTGGCCATTCCCACCTGCACTGGACTCAGCAGTGCACAAGCACCTAGCCTGAGAACCCTTGTGCTGCTCACCTTTGTCCTTCAGGGTAAGGATCACAGTCTCCCCCTCTCGGAAGGACTCTATGGCATGCTCCACAGTGAGGCCCTGCAGGTCCCGGGCACTGTACAGGTCCTATGAGGGAAGGTCCAGCCGAGTCAGGGGCCACATGTAGGCCCCAATGCTGGGATGGCAGCACCGAGGCCAAGAGCTTCCTTCTGCCCACTGTTTCCAGCTGCTACAGCCTCACCTGGCGCCTCTGCCCAAATTCCTCCTCCACCAGAGTGCTGACACCAAACTCTTGATCCATCTCCTCTAGCAGCTTGGCCTATGGGACATGAAAGGATGACCCGTGACCTCAGGCCTTTTAGCATTACCAGAAGACACCAGGGATTCTATCAAGTGAAAGTACAGAGAGGGCAGAACCTGCAGGCTGTGCAGAACCCAGAGCAGATAGCCCTGAGTATGGGCCTCCCCTGTCCACGCTGTGTCACCTCCTGAAGTTCAGGCCCTAAACTCACCAGCTCCTATCCTTCACCACCCCCGGCTGCCCCAGTGCTCACCCTCTTCTCTGCCAAGTCCTTCTCCTTCTGCAGCTGCCGGCTCCTCTCAATCCAGGCTGCAGTGTCATCCAGCCAGGGGTCATCCTCCCCCAGCGTCTTTATCTTCCTGAAGAAGGAAGAGAATGCTCAGGGGAGCCCAGTGCCTGATTCCCACCCCAACCCACAAAGTGAAAGGACAGCAGCTTTGCCCCTGGCGACCTTGGACAGAACTCCCTCACCCCAACTTCTGATTCAACAGGCGCTTTTCCTTGGCAGCTGCCAGTTTTTCCCGTAGCTCCTCTCGCTGTCGCATCGCCATGGGGTTGATGACATCAGCGGCCACGGGCTCCTCCTTGGTGCCCGCCTCTGGAAGGGGGGCCCAGACGTGAGGCTATGTCTGCCCATGGCTGGGGGGAGAGGAGGGAGCCACTCACTCTGCCCCCTTCTAGCTCAGGGCGCCAGAAGGGGCCAGGAGAGGGAAAGAGTCCTTCACCTCCCTAGCCCCACTTCATCCCCACATTCCTGTCAACTCATGCAGCATGACAGAACCTTCAACCTTCCAAAGCTCCTTATTTTTTTTATTTTTATTTTTTTAGTACTGGGGTTGAACTGAGGACCTTGAGCTTGCGAGGCAGGTGGTGTGGCGGCACCACTGAGCTAAATCCCAGGCCCCCCCTTTTTTTTAAGCAAACTAATCAATACCTGCATAGCTCAGGCAGTACGCAGCAACTATGCACACCTCTCAGCCCATATAACTGCACCTCGAGGACTCCAGGGCCAAATAGGGCAAATGCATCCCAGATCCATACTATGATAGCAGGCAAATGTATAAACAGGACTGCTGAATGGTGCTGCCTCTGCACTCTCGTCCCACTTTCTTCAAAAACTCCTTCAAATGACCTCTCTGCCCTACCCAAATGCCTTCCTGTGACCCCCATCCTCAGCCCCATGCTCACCTTTCTTGACAGCACTGACTTCTAGGGGTTTCAGCCCCAACTTTGCCCGGAGTTTACTGAGGACAAGAGATACAAGTGTCAGAAACTATGAAAGAAATAGGGTGTCGAGTGCATTTCTGGACGGGAGGCAACAATAGTGGGAACAAGCAGTCTGAAGCGGGGCTAAGTACAGGCCTGACCTGGACAGCCTAGGACACTTGGAAGGAACCATCCCCCAGACTCGGGAACATGGGTGCTAGGCCTGGCCTCCCCCTAACCAGCCAATGCCCTCCTGCTTGACTCTGAAGTTCCTTTCCCTGTGATTCAAAAGCAGCTATGATGACTTACATGGTCTTGCCCAATCCAACTAGCACACTGTAGTGGAAGAAAGGCTCCCCAGGAGGCTGCCCCACAAATTGCCTATCTCAGAAGAAAAAAGCCGAAGCACAGGGAAATAGTACTCACTTGGTCTCCTCAATGCTGAGTGACGAGGCATCTCCTGAGCTAGTTTTGGAGCTGGAAGCTGGAACAACACAAAGTACAGCTCAGGGGCTGAACACAGGGCCACAAAGCCAGCACCTGTGGCTCCAACCATAGGGTCAAAGATGAGCATTAGCACCTGGGTCTGTTGCAACACCAGAAAGCTGCAGCTTCTTCCCTGTTATGCTCCCCAGCATTACTTCTACCTGAGCCCTTGTCTATCAGTCCTGCTCTTTTAGCATCTTCTTTTCCTGACCCACAAGGTCCAACTTTCTGCACTTCTCATTTCGCTGTCTCCAACCACTTTTGTACATACTGTGTTTTGAACCTCAACTGTGCTCTTTGGCCTTGCTCTGACTGACAAAATCTTATCAGGACCTTCATGAAGTCCTGTTCAACTACCGATCAGAATGATCTGCCCTGAACTCTTCAGCAGCTGTCGGCTCAGGTCTCCTCCTCCCCACAGGACACAGACTTTATCAGCAGCAAGACTGTGTCCTCTGTGCAACATGAAGAAACTGTACTCTGCTGGATGTTGGAGACACAGACAAATAAGCATTTTGGACCTGCTCCAGCCACCTAACATACAGCAAATAACTGACCACCACAGAGGTTTGACATCAGCAGATGGGGTTCCCTCCACCAGCATCTACCGATGAGCACATCCTTTCCTGTATCCCCAACCCATTTCTCTTTAATCTCCAAGGTCCCTCTCGCCACCTAGGCCCTTTACAACATCACCTGCCTCTTTAGTTCCAAATCCAATGGATTCTTTTCAGTTCTAGTCTGCTTTATTTCTCATGGTGAGTGACACTGTTGATCATCCCCTCCTCCTAGCAATACTCTCTACCATCTAACCCATGAACAGTGAGCCTCTGCTATTCCTTTTTGGCTACTCTACCTCCTTTTCTGTACCATCTTCATCTGTCACTACTAAACTACTGGCATGTCTCAAGTTGTATCTCTTATCCTAACTTCTCACTCCACACTCTCGAGGGGGCTTCATTGGCCACCTAAATATTCATAAATCCAAAATCACTCTATCCAGCCCCAATCCTGAATTTCTCCACCAACAACAATCTCAATACTCTCCAAAACTGAGTCTATTATCTTTCTCCCGCTTCAAATCGTCTCTTCCAAAACCCTCAATTTCAAAAGATGTCACTGTCATTCATCTAACTGTTCACCCCAAAATACAAAGAGTCAGACTTTTTTCTTCTCTTTCCCTTTCTGATCCAAACACTAAATTCTATTCGCTCCTAATCCAAAACACGTCTTTAGTCTGCCCACTTCTCCCCAACCCACTGCTGCTGCCCTGATGCAGGCAACCATCAACCCTCACTTGGTTGCTTTACAGCCCTTCTGACTTCTGGGCCTCCAGTCCTATCTCTGATCAAATACTTAAAAGCAGTGACTTTTACAAAACATCAATCTGATAAACTTGCTCCCCAACTCAAATCCATAATTTCCTAACACCCTAGAAACAATGCCCAAATTTAACAAGGCCTACAGTACAGTCAGACCCCAGCCTAGCTTATTTCCTCAAGTCTCTACCATGAACCCTACATGACTTGCTCAATACCAGTTTTTTTGTTTGTTTTACTTTTTTAGTACTGGGGATTGAACATAAGAGCCTTCATACAGTTACACCTCCGGCCCCTTTGAGACACGAACTCGCTAAGTCATTAAATTGCCCACCCTGATCGAATTTACTATCTTCCTGCCTCGGTCTCCCGGAGAGCTGGAATTACAGGCCTGCGCCACCACGACAGGTGTTCTCTCGCCTCTGCACAAGCTGGCACTTCTTCATTCATTCACCCAACATTTATTGAGAGCCTGTGTAATGCCAGACAATTGAAGTCAAGTTTTAACCCAAAACAACCAGAGAAAGCCCTTTAAGCGCTGAAGAAGAAAACCTGGAGGAGCCTGCGCCTGGAAAGCCCCGCGGACCTGCACGCACACTCGGGGCCGAACGTCCCGGACCCCCACCCCGCGCCACCCCTGCACAGACCCAACCCCTACCGGCCTCGTAGCCATCATCTCGCTTTTCCCGCTTCACTCGCCGCTCGGAGGGCTCGGCTTGGCTGCGGTCCCTCCCGTGAGCGCCGCTACGGACTTCGGCTTCTGCCCCGCGCCGCCCACTCCCGCGCTCGCTCCCACGCTCCCGGCTCCGCTTCCGTCGTTCACCGCCGCTGCTGCCGCCGCCGCCACTTCGATGCTTATGTTTTTTGTGCTCCCGATGCCGCGGCGCCTGCTCAGCGGAGCTCCCGGTGCCGGCCGCCGCCGTAGTTCCGGCTACCTCTTTCTCTCCGCGGTGCTTCTTTGACGACCCCATTGTGGTACGTCAAGCTGGACCGGGGCCGCCGCGGAGCCCCAACGACGCAAAATGGGAATACTTCCGGGTCACACGGCAGCCGTGATCTTGTTGCCGGAACCCAAGAGCGGCTACTTCCGTGGTTAGACCCTACCCCAAGGACTCATGGGAAGGCCAGGATTGGAACCCGAATGCGCAAGCGCAGCCGTCTCTAGCTGAGTGGCGGTCTCTGAGCCTGTGGTCTTCTTCGCAGAGTTGGACTTCTTGTGTGTAGGGTAATGCGAGTCGTGAATTCCAGAGATCTTAAGATCTAGAAGATGCTCATTCGAGAGATGCAGATAAAAACAACGCAGATTCCACCTCACCCCAGTAAGAATGGTTGCTATCAACAAATCAACCAATAACAAATGCTGGGAGGGTTGTGGGGAGAAAGGAACCCGTCTCCATTGTTGGTGGGAGTGTAGACTGGTGCAACCACTGTGGAAGTCAATATGGAGATAACCTCAAACAACTAGGATTAGAAGTCCCGTTTGACCCAGCTATTTCCCTGTTGGGTATCTTCCCCAAAGAATTAAAAGAATCATACCACAGCGATATATGTGCACCCATGTTTATAGCGACACAGTTTGTAATAGCTAAAACTTGGAAACAGCCCAAATGCCCATCAACTGGAGATTGGATAAAGATGTGGTTTTTCTGTAAAATGGAGTACTACTCAGCCATAAAGAATGAGAAACTAGAGACATTTATAGCTAAATGGATG